TATATGAAGTTTTTGGTTTTCTAGATTCTAATATATATAATATTTCACGATCCTGGATAAATTTAAAATTTATTTCCGTCTTTCACATATACGTTCTGTGGGGAACATGTAGCTTAAATGTATTTCTATATTTAGTTCGGATGAGGACTAGTTAGAGAGACAAAATGCCACAGAGAAAATGCCACAGTCCACATTATTCAACAACTAAATATTGTTTCTTTATTTAGCTACGACAGATAAAAACCATTATCTGTTATTACATTTTGTAATAACATTTTGGGGCTTGAAATTTAGAGCTTCTTTTAAGACATTTGCTATTGCGAAATATTTCTTTCTCTGAAATTTTGTTATTAGTATCCGTCTTTTAAAATGCAAGCTCATATTTTGCATTATAGACTTCTAATAGATGAACAGTATATTGTATTTTATATTGTAAGTCATAAAAACCTGGCTAAGGTAGTTCTAAATTTCTAGCAGTTTTCTATTTATGGCATCCAAAGAATACCGAAAATTCCATTTGTTTTCAACCTTACATGCAACAAATAATCAATCTTCTTTAGTTTGCCGTAATGTTTTTAAAGTAATTAAGTATAATCATTTGTCAAGATTCTGATTTTTTGGAAGAATTTTCTAGCCATATTCATTTCACCCAGCTTTTTAATCTATTCGTATTCATATCTTTCTGCTTCCTTCCTTTTTTCGCTGAAAATACGTTTCTCTTCCGTTCTCTTTCGCCGATATCGTTCTTTAGAGGTACGCGTTAAATGCTGTCTCTTTCCTTGCGGTAATATCAGAACACTAATTAGTTTTATCGAACAGTACTAAATCACAACAACAAATTTTTATTATTATTTTTAAATGATGGAATGACCAAGCAGCCATTTGATAAGAATCTCTATATTAAACTAATTACTAATTACTACTAATTAGTTCTATAAAACACAATAGTTGTATTAGAAAAAACCAGCTTCGAAGTTTTCCTACACATCTCCGACTTTTGTACTCATGTCGAGTAGAACTAAAGTAAGCAAAACAATAACAACAAATATTTTTACATTAAATTAATTTATTTATTCAGCGTTTACATTAGTTTTACAGATCATTGCGCTCACAAAATATGTTGACTATCAGACGTTTAAACTAAATCTTCAGATCAATACTCTTTGTTAAATAATTTTAAATAATTTTGGTTGCATTTAGTACATAAAATAAATCTAAAAACGATTGATTGGTAAGGTTGTAACATTAGTACTATGACTCGACCAACTTCATATATTAAGAAAGTATTATTACATTAGACAATATAATTTCACATTAAAATCGGAGGAACATGATTTCCGCAGCGTGGAAAATTAGGTGGAATTGGTGGTAAATCCTTTTTAGAACCAATTTGTATCACCAAATTCATACCAATCACAATATGAAACTGAAAATGACAGTGAAATAACCAAAATCCGGGGTTATCCGCACGAAATCTGATGACTGTATAGCCATTATTAGGAACTGCTACTGTATCCTTCAAGGCAGGCTTGACGAATCTGCGCTTTAACATGCCTCTTCTGTCTAAATCGATAGCATGTTGCAAATTCATACGTTTCACATTATTATCGGGCGAGCGACCCAAACCGAGTACATGAAATGAGGTGCCGTGCAAATGAAACGGATGACTTAAATTAACCTGTTGAACTTCATCAACGAGGACGATTTCTACAATTGCATCGAGTGGTATGTCTATTTTATGTGTGCATTGGCAGTTTTCACCACAATCGGCGGGGCGATTATCACTATTGCAGAAATACTCTGCTGGAATATCCTCATACTGTGACAACATTGGCGAGGGTGGCGCAACATAGGAGATCTCATCGATCAAAGAAATGAGATGATCACCATCAGAAGCAACTGAAATACATAACTCATACAGTTTGAATTAAATTTTAGTGTCAAGTCTCAATTAGTTTAATTTGAGATATCGTTTTAGTGATTATTCCATCACTTCAAGTAGTACTCATAACTCAGCTATAAAAACTATGATTAATTTAATATTATTTTAATTATAAATAATTAAAAATTAATTTAATTATAAGATTTCGAATGATTTGGAAAAGTGACTTTTGTATTTACAATTCCCATTCGATATATTTTATCATCCCAGGTATTTGATTTCGATCCGTTGAACTTCGATTAACGGCATCAGGGAAGTAAATGGTGATTTGTGGGTTATTTCAAGAGACTTACCAGTTTTTATGGATTTTGCTTTAAATTAGACCAATATTATATTTAAATGTATAGAAATTTATTATATATTAAATTATTATATATTAAATAAAATAAATTACGTTTTTTTCATATTATAATACAAGCTCTTCGAGTATTAGAACATCGGTCTTTGAGAATTGGTTTCTAATATGAAGTATTAATTATCGTATTGTAATTAAATATATAGGTATAAATATATAGTAAGCATTATATTGTACATATTAAAACATTTTACATAATATATACAAAATTTGGTACAAGCCTGCAAATAATTTAATATAATTTATATACACCACTCTTATTTTAAATCTTAATATTAAACTTTTAAAAATTACAAATATTATAACAAAAGGTACAGATCCGTTGTTTGCATTTGTCGGTTCGAAGACGCATAACCTATTAATAAAAAGTGATTGGTGGCGTATGGTCACCACAGCGTGGAAAACCAGGCGGTATGGGCGGTAAGTCTGATTGTGTGCCGATATGTAAAATTAGGTTCATGCCAATTGCTATATGAAAAAGAAAGTGACAATGAAAAAGCCAATATCCTGGATTTTCAGCCTTGAAACGTAAAACCGCATAACCATTATTTGGTACTGCTATTGTATCCTTAAGTGAGGGGTTTGAAAAGTCACGTTTCAACATACCCATACGATCTAAGTCCAGAGCATGTTTTAAATTAATTTTCTTAATAGCTTTGTCCGGCGAACGTCCCAATCCCATTACGTAGAATGCTGTGCCATGTAAATGAAAGGGATGACTTAGATTAATTTGTTGTACTTCATCAACAAGCACAACTTCAACCACCGCGCCTAATGGTATATCCACTTTGTGGGTGCACTGACAATTTGGTGCACATTCTGGTGGTCGATTATCGCCATTGCAGAATTGTTCTGGTGGTATGTCCTCAATTTGTGAAAGCATTGGTGAAGGTGGCGATATGTATGATATTTCATCTATCAGCGATATTAAATGATCACCCGTGGGTGCAACTGTAATTGTTAATGGTTAGTCGCAAAAATTTTCTAAGATATTCAAAAAAAAAAAAAATTGTTGCGTCGATCAGTGATCATAAATAGAAATATTTCATATTCTATTTAGGAAATGAGATTAATTTATGACCTTAAATACAGAAGTAATTAAGTTTATCCTATTTTGTTACTACTTACACATATTTTGATATGATTTATCGTTTTTATTAATTATCAGTACCTTAATGTGAGAGAATTATTATCTTGCTGAATAAAAGGTAATTCAATCTACAGTTGAATCTGTATGGCCAAATATTAAATACATTTTTTGGATTAAAAAGAGCCAAATTTCAATAAATTAATTAAAATTTTTAGTGTTGTCTTTCTATTCGAACCCTTCTGACTTATAAATATTTTAGGTTGTTTTTCTAATACTGGTATATAAGATTAATTACCTAATGCCAAAAAGGCATATATGAAAAACAAAGGAAAAAAATATATCGATTAATCTGACATATGAACAAATTTAATTCATTTTTTCTATATCTATTTTTTGAGTTAATAGTTTTTTTTCCAAGTTTGGATGTTTCCATTGCTTGCCACTTATTTCTGTAAATCAAATAAGAGCAAGTTTTCGGTTTTGTTCGAGGTTCAAGTTAATTGTTAATAGATCACTGATCGCTATATCGATTTTTTGTGATCCACATTTTTTAATATTAATTTTGTTATTACTTTAATGTTAAAATTAAAATGAAGAGTTATACAAACCTAAGAAGGTATTATAAGTGTTTGGTAGAAATAGGTGCTTTGGATCGTAGACAAAAAATCTAAATGGCAAAAATATTTTTACGTCCGGCCGATCCACGAGCACACTCTTATCAATATGTTTGGCATTCTTGAGGTTCGAAACACAGACTGCGTCGGCGCGCTTGACATTACAAATGGCATCCAATGGATTAAGTATCTGTGAAAAATCGAAAAGAAAAATCGGGCAGCAAATTTTAATATAATATTATTAAATTCAAGTATAAGTTGGTGAATATAAAATTATTATATTATATACAAGAAATATGATTTATATTTATGATAATTGAGCTGTGGTGCGGGTGGATTATGCTAGTCATTAATTAAAGTACACAAAGAGGGATTGATTGAAAAAGTTATTATTTTCTGTATATTTTATTTATATTATTTTATTTATATATAAGGCTATAAAAAATATTTTTACATTTATTTTAGCATACATACAAAAGAATGCGTTTAATGAATTAGGTATAGTTCCACTCAACGCATTTCAATAAAAAAATTAATAAAATTTATAGGAAAGTGTATAAAAGTTATTTAATAAAAAATTTTAAGGATTGTTTGAGGTGTTCAACTCTCTATTGATAGCAAAATAAAAATATAAAAATTATTTACAAAATACATACAATATTTTTAAAAGATTTCGAGAAGTAAGATTAATATAAAAACGATTGCGGAGGAAAGTTCAGTTAGTTTCATACAAATTTAGTTGAATTTTACATATTCAAAATTTTTTATAACTTATGTGGGTAAATTACTATAATTAAACATATCAAATGTAAAATAAAAACATAATAACATAAAAGCATAAATCAATAATGATTCAAATGATACAAAATAAAAATTAAATACTTAATTAATTTACAATAAACATAAACAAAAGAAAGTAAAAAAAAACGAGAACTGAATAAGAAATAAAAAATAAAAAATAAAATTAACAAATTAACAAATTAAAAAAAAAATTATTAAGCACACACCAAAGAAAAATGTTTGTAAATTTTGATATTTTCAGAAACGCGTCCTTTGCGTTTTCGAGTGAAAGACGAAATTTACAAAAATATTTCTTTCAGTGTATTTATGACTGTTGCGCATAAAATTGCTGATCCCTTCAAGAAAAAACGTTGCGAGAAGCGCTAGAAGACTTCGATCTTCTCATCGCTTCAAGCTGCGCTCCACAGTAGAAGAAACAATTTTATCAAAAGCGCTAATTTATAAAAACTATTTTAATATTTAATTATTTTAATATTTAAATTTGTGCTTTGCCAGTCACGTCCTTTGCTGCTGTTACAGACGTTGTGTTTTGTGGTGTTTTAAGGCATAAATTTACAAAAGAGAAACGCTGCATCGAGTTCTGTACAAAGCGTTTAAATTTTTTAGTTTCTCAAAGATTTCCTCGTCTATTTTAGTATTTTTGCTTAAAATTTAAAAAATTTTGGAATTCAAACACCTAAAGTTTAGTTAATGGGTATCGGAGGCGTATGGTCACCACACGTTGGGAAACCTGGTGGAACTGGCGGCAAATCTGCTTGTGTGCCAACTTGCAGTATAAGATTCATGCCGATAACTATGTGGAACAGGAAATGACAATGGAACAACCAGAAACCTAAAATGAAAGAAATAAAGAAGTGCTGTGTATGAAGTCAAAGTGTATTGAACTTACCGGGGTTATTAGCTCTAAACCTTAACACAATGTAACCATTATTCGGTACTGCTAATGTATCTTTCGATGGTGGCAAATTGTATTCACGATGCAAGAGACCACGACGATCCAAATCTAATGCATGCTTAAGATTGATTTTTTTGACATTTGTGTCCGGAGAGCGACCAATACCTATAACACTATAGCTGTAACCGTGCAAATGGAATGGATGTGACAAATTTGGTTGTTGTACTGTAAAAAACAAAAAATATATTACTGTTAATTATCTTTTGCCGAAAGTGACGCATCTTATGACGAAAAGAAACTGTTTAAAAGTTAAAATGGTTCGAATAGAAATGAAAAGACAATAACAATAATTTTTTTTTGAAAAATTTTTAAATTAACTAAAATTTGTGTTCTTGCCTTTTCATTTCTATTCGAAACCATCTAACTTGAAAATATATTTATTATTTAATTTTACAATATTGATTAATATCAGAAATAGAGAAAAATAGATATATGTTATCCCGGTTTATAAATATTACTTGTGGGTTTTTATAAAGCTTACAGTCTTAATTTTTATAATTATAATGTGAAAGGGCTGGCTTCATGCATAATAATGCACAACTACAATTGCCAGTTACAGTAGCTGACAACTCTTACTGTAGTTCACAATTGTAAGCCAGAGTAGCCAGCGACTGTAGTTCAATCATATGCCACATAGTAGCCAACGACTGTAGTTCAATCATATGGCACATAGTAGTCAGCGACTGTAGTTCAATTATATGCCACACAGTAGCCAGCGACGGTGGTTCAATTATATGCCACAGTAGCCAGCGACTGTAGTTCAATTCTGAGCTGTATTACTTAAACGTCATTTTTGACATTTCCAGCTATTGTAGCCAGTTTTTGTAACATACACAACAATCTCTGGCTACAGTAGTTAGAAATGTCAGAAATGATTGAGCAAAAGCCATTGGCTACAGTCTTAAAAGTGTTTGGCTTATTGTAGTCAGGGATTTGATCGTAGCCAGAGCCATTGCTTAATAGTGCGTTGGGCATAAGGCAACATTCGTTGGCTACAGTAGTTAGAAATGTCAGAAATGATTGAGCGAAAATCGTTGGTTACTGTATTCAAAATATTTGGGCTACTGTAGCCCAAATACTGTAACCCTGTGGACTATTGCTGTTGCGTAGTCGTGCATTGTAGGTAAATTATGTGAATAAATTTAAAATAAATAAATTTAAATTTAAGAATTTAATTTCTTTCGTTAAAACGGACATTAAAAATCAATGTAATAAAAAAAAAGAATTAAAATATCTTCTATAAAAACTGTGGATTAATGAAAAAGAAGTTATTCCAACTAAATAACCAATGTATTTATCCGATCCAATAAATCTTTTTTTATATCAAAAAAAGATGATCACATTATGATCGTAAATCTATTTTCCATATTCACTTAAGATTGTATGAACTTTCGCCCATACCTTCGCTATCAATCAATCATATTTAAAAGAGAAAAAAGGGGCATTATACCGTGGGTTATATTTTAACTATAAAATATTGTTTCTGACATATTGTTGGAAAGGGAATGGCTATAGCTCGTTCTTTAAGGGGATCAAAATTTAACAGTTCCATTAATATCTACGTTTAAAATGAAATTTTCATTATCAAACCTTTTTTTAAATAGAGGATTATCGTAAGGGCATTATACCGTGGGTCATATTTAAACTATAAAATATTATTTTTGAAAACATCGTTGGAAAGGAAATGGCTATAGCTCGTTTTTTTAAGGGGGGTCATGCACCATTAGTATCAAAATAAGTCCAATTGAAAGGGTTGTTTGAGTAAAATTCTTAAGTATGATAGTCATTTAAAAGGGAATAAAATACTATAGCTCGTTTTTTTAAGCGGGTCATGGTTCTACCAATTGCAAAACTGAACGGTTCCGTTTCATACAGTTTCTGGTAATATCTACGTTTAAAATGATTAGCAAATATTTTTTAAATAGAGGATTATGGTATGGTTAACCCATGTCACTATTTAATCTATAAAATAATCTATTAATATATGGAAAGAGGAAATGTTTCACAAATTGCTTAATTACTAAAGAAAGACTAAATTTGTTTATTAAAGAGATTAAAAATTGAAGTAAATCGTGAAAATGCAAATAGATGCGATTTACAAAACTTCCAACCTCCAGTAAAAATACTCCAAATGAATAAGTTTGTTTTGGTTCGTTAGGTGCCTGGGGCCCATTTACCGATCGAATTCGACGATTAAAAATAAAATTTAAAGCAAAATAAATTTTACAAGTACGTTGAGGGCAAATATTGTACCAAACCCAGTTGCAGATACGAAAACTCTACAAATGAGCATAAAACGAATTTGAATTTGTTTAAATCGGTATTAAATTATAATTTGCGATTGTTGTTGTTGTTGTTGCTGTTGTTGCTGTTTTCATAGTCGATTTTGTTAAAGAGTGTAAATATTAAAATTATGCGCTAAAATGAAAAGGTTTTCAGTTCGATAATTATCTGAAGGCGTTTTTATAGTACAAAATTGTGGATTTTACTTTTCGCTTAGGTTGGGCACAATTCGAACTGAGGCTAGCGCTGAAGTTGAGGTGGACGTTGGCGTGATTTTTAATGTGATTCACAATTTTTGAACAGTTTTGCATTAACTTTAGTTTCTCAATTGAACATTTCAATAAACAGAATTGATATTTTAGTGCAAAAATTTTGATTTTAATTGGTAACGAGCTGTTCGAGTGTAAGTGCAAGTGCTTAACTTGACCAAGCCTTCAAAAAGATTTCAAGAGCATCAAAACAAGTCCAATTGAAAGGGTTGCTCGAGTGGTATTCTTAAGTATGTTAAAGTCATTTGAAATGGATTAATGCATAAGCTGAGATTTAATTTAATTAAGTTTTTAATTTGTTACGGTTTTCACTTTGAATCACATGAGCTCATGTGCACAAGGCAATCATAATTACGATCGTATATATAGCGAAACTAAGGTGTCACTAACTAACTGGGGAGATATGCAATATTATATATAACTGTGTTTTGTGAGAAATAATTTGAAATAGTTAATCAATTAAGTTTAAGATTATATTGTATATATATGCTAATGATCTTTACCTTCATCGATTAATATCACTTCGACGACTGCATTTAATGGAATGTCAATTTTGTGTGTACACATGCAATTGGCACCGCAATTAGCTGGACGATTATCACCGTTGCAGAATTGGTCAGGATTGATGTCATCATACTGTGATAATAATGGCGCAGGTGCTGATAAGTATGAGATTTCATCGATAAGCGATATAACGTGATCACCGGTGGGCGCAACTATTGGAAGATAGATTTTTGTTTTTAAAATATGTAACGTGAATAAAAGTATTTACTTACCTAAGAAACGATTGTAGGTGTTTGGCTGGAACAGTTCTTCGGGTCGATAAACAAAGAAGCGGAATGGTAAGAAGATTTTCACATCAGGTTTCTCTGCCAAAATACCACGATCGATTTCTTGTGCGTTTTTCAATTGACTGACGCAGATTGCGTCGTTGCGATCGCGATTACATTGTGCGTCCAGAGGATTCATGACCTTAGTTTTTTTTTCACAATTTCAATTAAGTGTTCAACAATTTGGAATTTAAATTTTGAATTTACAGAACGTTCAAGTAAAATTTATATTTACAAGATGGATTTAAAAACCATTTTTAATTTAACGTGTGCACATTTTGTTTAGCATTGTTTGGAACCAGTTTTGATTGGTGTTGTTTAGTATTGGATTGATTTGGATTTCAAAATATTTATAAGGAAGCATTTTTGTTGTTTTTGATTTTAAGTGTTGTGGTTGATTTGCAATATTTTTTTTTTGTTGGGTTGGAATACATATTTTTGTAGGCAAGAAAAAAAGAAAAGAAAAAGAATTTGTTGTAGTTGGTTTATATAATTTTAAGTTTTAACATTTAAGAGTAACTATATACATATATACATATTTCAGCAATTACTTTACATAGTATATTTTACACAAATACTAAAAGAATTATTTATATAGAATTATTTATATTACCAAGCTAACTAAAACTCTATACCCTTTCGAAGTCATATTGTGAAAAGGGACAAAGAATTTGTATTTACAAATTAAGACGGAAATATTTTAGTGTATTATACATTTAAGTTAATAAATCTGAAAAAATAATTATAAATAATAAATGAAAATTTAAAATTATTATGGTTTTTTCTTTGTTTTATCTTCAACAAACCACAAACTCACGATTTCGTTAGATCGCTTAAGCACTTCTGATTTTGGCATACACTGAACATACCCATTCGTACCCTATGGTATTCTATAGATGCTTTCGTTATGCTCATTTTATTATTATTATTATTATTATTATTATTATTATTCACTATATTTGTACTCGTTTAACTTCTTAATATGCTAATTTGATTACCAATTGTACATCGTATAAAACTAATAATGAATGTAAGTTGTTATTTTTTTTTTATATTATAAACTGCAATCGAAATTACTGTGTATCTTGAGTGTGAATTCGATTTCCGTAGTAAATAAATTATTTTGTTCGATTTGTTAGTAACATAGACACGCCTATTTTATTTAATATCAATAGCTGGAGTTTTGTTGTTTAACAAAAAAATAAATACTATTGTTTACAAAACTAAACACCATAAAAATTGTTAAGCAAAATAATATGGTAAATAACCTTTAACTGATTTAATTTTTTTTTACACATTTAAGTTAAATCGAAAAACTAATTAAATTTAATCCACACAAAACTTAGCTTGTAAATCCTAACTCTATACCAGATAATGACTCCTAAGAGTCTTAAGTCTACTCCAACATAGTAACATGCATAAAATGACTTGTAGAATTAGGTACAGTTTTTGTTAGGAAATAATTTGATTAAGTTTTTTGAAATCATCACGATAATGGTGTTGATGTTACATTACATCCACTTAAGGTACATTCAATTACATATATACATTTGATGTCTTGCAAAGTTCTCAAGTCATTATCCAGTAACAAAGAAAGAAAAAACAAACATTGGGAAAAAAGTAAACTTCTGCAAGAAACACATATGTGTTGCAGCTGGGTTGGTATAGCGGGTTGTATAGCGGTTTTGTGATCATTAAAATTCGATGTGGAATTACTTTGTAACAGTTAGTTCCATGTGTGGTATTTGGTAGGATCGCAAAGCTATCATTTATTACAATGCGTTATACGCTCAAGAAATAATCGCATCGAATATGTGTTGCAAGTACAATAATTATTGCAATTAAAGCCAGAAATTGAATACAAGAATCTTCAATTAATACTCGTAAAGAGGAAAACTTTTATGGTCAACATAGCGATTCAAAGCAATACAAATCCCTATAACCCGATAACAGTAGAGAAACTTTGGTTGAAAGGTTTTAACACCAATTATTGTGTTTTGATGATATTACATTGTTATATATGATCTACAATATCCTCTTACGTGCAGAGGACCGTGAAGATTATATGCTACATAAAGTACCGTTATAAAGTCCAAAATATACATGAAAAAGGTTTTGTTTTGCAGTATTGAATATGGAAGCCTAATCTAAAGGGTTTTTTGGATTCGTTCTTTAACTGTAGTTTAAGCATTAGCTTGCTTAGTAAACGTCAGTATGACTTCCAAAGAGTTAAAGGTACTACTTATCAATTATAAGTTATATCCAAAGCTATAGAAAAACGATTGAAATCAGGCTTAGCTTTCATCTCGTGCTTCTTGTTGATGTCTGGCAATCATTTGATAGTTTAATCGTAAAGATATTTAAACCGGTGATGTTGCTAGAAAAATTGACGTACTTGCTATTAAAATATTGAGCAGGATTGTAGTAAAGATCCCACATTAAAACAAACAAACCAAAGCCTTTAAAACAATCAATTATATATAATAAATTATAGCTTAAAATCGTTATATGTGACAATTGTTGTGTAGTCAACACTTAAAAGTATTAAGAGCTTAACTTCCTTGGCCTTTTATTTACTCAAATGAACTCTATTGAAGTGGCCAAAAGGAGTATAATACAAGCAGCTTATTCAAGTTTTTATTGTATTTAACTAACTTTTAGCTAAAAAATCTTGCCTAGAATGACCAAATTAAGAAAGTATAATGGAATATAACGAATAATGCAAAAGGAAGCAAGCAAACTTGCTATGTGCGAGTGGAATGTGACCTTAAGCATATTCATCCAATGCTCAATACTTTGAGCCAATTCAAGAAAAAGGTTTATTTAGAAAATTCAATAATTATATATAAAATTATGACCTAAACCGACTCAAAGAACGCGTTTAATGGAAGTACTGATCGTTTTGGTTTTGGAATGCTTATCGAAGTAATACTGCAGTAGATGCTTGAATGTGAAGTCCTCGAAAAAATACTCGAAGAAATAAATGGAATATATGGAAAACAGATGGAAAAAGAGATGGATTGTCTGAGTTAAATTCTATTGGAGAACATTATAGAAATATGATTAAAGAGTGCAATTTAAAAGTGGAATATTGTTTTGCAGATCTAGGAATTCAATGAACTATTAAACTGTGGACGGTGATGATGTCGGAAAAACTAGATTAATCAGAATTTATTACTGTACTTAAAAATATTTATTAAAATAAATAAATACAGTCAATAACTCTATAACTCGAAGTACCATTTTGCAAAGAAAAGGTTCGACTTATGGAGATTTCGAGTTAAAGAATTTATTTGTGAGTCTATGTAATTTGCTCTCTAAACCCGGTTGTACTCTACTTAGTTTGAGTTATAGATAATTCGAGTTATAGAAGTTTGGCTGTATGTATAAAAATTAAACACACTCAGATTAATCGAAGGAGTCTGCTAAAAAACAAAATTAATTTTATAAATTTTAAAAATGTCTTGTTTTCGAGGTTTTTATCAGTCGATCTCGTTTACTAATATTATAATTCTAGTGTTTTAAAATTAAGACAAACCTATAGTTGGCATTCCTATATATAATAATTTCATTTGCTTTAAATACTTGTCTATTCTTCCTAACCTTATAGTGAATAATATATTATATTTATTTTAGTTATGTGTAAGTAAAACCTAACCTTATAGAAGATATATGATGATTCCACTTTCAATTATATTATATTGTAATTGAAGGCAATAAAGGGTGACGTTGCTGTCATATTTTAATAACTCTGTACTGATGTGTTTTACCGACGTAACACTTAAAAGAACTTAATTAAGTTCTTGCAATTGCCTTCAAAGACTATTAAGTAACAACTTAATTTCAGTTACACCTTTAAAGTATTCTCCTACATTTCTTATGATTCGTACTAGTTGATTTGTATTTATGTATGCATAACTAATTTAAACTGACATGAGAAAAATCGGTTCTAGCATGTAAGACAGAAAACATTTAGAAAATCTATGAAAAACAAACTTACCACACCCTGCGGCAAGCCAACGTCATATGTTGGCGGGGCTGACTGTGGTTGGTAGGGTCCGCGCGCATATCTCAAGATACCCAATTGTTGCACACGACGTATACCGCATTCACCTAAACCTCTCAGTTGTATCCAATAAGCACCGACTGGCTGATCGGCATTGATGACAAAGTCATAGCGTTCACCTGCAAATAAAAATCATTGAAAAATCAGTTAAGAACAAGCGTTAAAAGATACTAGACAAGCTGTAGATAAGCTTTTATTAGGAGCACCGATAATTTGTTCTGTAATCGCGCAACAGCTGTGGCATTTCAATTAATTCGCTGCCGTAGCTATTGTTTTCAACACTCCAGCCTCCATGCTCTTGTTCTCATATAAGGCCATAAAGTATTAGTATTTTTTAAAGACTTAGACGGTTTGGCTTGGCTCTGTTTCTTTCGTAGTTCGAACTACATTATGTGCTAATTTTTATGCTAATTCTTTTTTGTTAATGGAAACAGATTTGTTAGTGGAAAACGGCAGTGAGTAATAAGTAATTGCTCTGCAGTGTTCTCTGAATTTGCTGCCTTAAATATATTTTTGCGATATACAAAAGCATAACTGGCTGACAAATTTATGAAGTTCGGTTTCAGACGGAACTATGCAATATTTTTGATTTGCTGAATTTATAATTTGAACTTGACCCAAAGTGTTTGTTGCGATTGGCATTCCAAGAATTTGATAAGGGTGGAGTAACTTAAGTGTAATTGCACTAGATTGAATGCGATGACTTGTGGTTGGGAATGGAAATTTGAAATAGTGCTAGTGACATATAAAATTTCCAGCATGTAATTAAGAAATCCTTTATATACTTAAGTTTAAATTATTATAAATTAACTTGTAAAAATTACAAAATCCAGATACTGCAGTTATGCAGATATAAGACACTTTTATGTTTTTGGTTTGATTTTTGCCATGCAAAAACTTACTTTATGAAAACGTAATTATAGTTGAAGTGTCATTACTTTTCCGCTGTCTATACGATCTAGTTTCTTTGAGATTTCCTGCTTAAAATCATATCAAGGAACGCGGATAATGCCTGCAAGTGGTTGGCTTTGTATCATTTCACTCATAAACAACGTTTTTACTTGTCTCAACTGTGAGCAACGGAAATGTTTCTATCCATTTACGAACGCCCCTTTAAAGCAATCGTTTCTAAGAAACATTTCCAAATCATTTATTGTTCGATGCACTGAAGTGCATTTAGTGCATTTGGTGCATTTGGGCATTTAGCATGCGCACATGCAACTGTTCGATTCCAGCAAATCGACAGCCGTTTTGGCTTTAATTGTCTTCGAGTCTTTAGGTTTGCATTGCTCAACGAAACTCTAATTTTCATTTTTTTGTTCCAGTTTCTTGGCTGAACTGGTTCGTTTTGGCTGGATTAGGTTAGGTTTAGTGTGTCACGAAACTGGGTGTTGCATTATTTTAAACTTTTATTGAACATTTTAAGTTGAAATTATATATTCGTGATGTTTTATGTAATTTTAACAATGCGTACTTAACAAACTAACAAAACAATATCATTGATATGAATTCGGAGTGATATAATAATTATGGAAATTATCTTTTATGTGAGCTTATGTGTTTTGTAATGTTTTCCATAAAAATACCTATTTTGCGTCTTATAATAAAACCAATTTTTATTTAATTTAAAAATAATATAAATGACTCTGACACATGCTCATTCCGCTATAGTAAAGTTTATAGCACTTTCCATTTCTATATAGGTACATATTTTTTTTCCATAGAAAAATGCTTTCCACGAAGCTATGAAATGGTTTGTGGTATTTTCTCATGTAAATACGAAATAATTATGACAAATGCTAACAAAACCTCAATAGTTTTTTTATAATTTATGGAAAGAAAAATTTATTTGGATAAAAACCCCGACCGGTAGTTATTGTGGTATTTGGGTATTAGAAGTGAGCTCGGAAATAATAGAAAGTTTTTATATTTCCTGCGCTCTAATCAAGTCGCACCGTCTGTCAAAAAATTACAATAAATTTCTAGTTTATATCACTAGAAGCGAAAATAGTACATCATGTCCTATGAGATTATTTATTACAAGTGATGCAATATTTCAACACATAAGAAATATTTTAAACAAATATTTAATTGACCCAAACTAAGTAGTTGCTTTGCTGGTTTCGTCATATCGTGAGAAAGATCCACGATGCTTCAGTTAAAAAGGGTTCATAGTGACAGTTAGAGATAATTTGTGCCTTCGATGAAATGATCAAGTTGAGGTAACACTCAGATTCACATGGAGAGAAGTGCTGCGTCTGACTGAAACCCGACAATGGGTTTCCATATACAATCAAGTAAGTATGTAAGTAGTTTACAGAATTCTTCTGATTATTATTGTAAGGAAAAGAGATTAAATGCTTGTGGAAAAGTCTAAAAACTGAGCAAATTTAAACTGAAAGTAGATCTTTAAAATTGTGCTGTTCGGTTTAACGAAGTATTCGGAGAATCCGATTAATCGGATAATGAACGAAGTCTTCGAATTTACAAAAAAAATCCAAGTCCGGAGTCAAAATCCGGAGTCTTCAAATATCCGGATTTACGATTATTATTCGCATTGAAATTATTCGGAAAATTCGTAGGCAAAAGTTAAAGGCAGAGCACCAAATGCAAATGTATGTGCATCACACAAATACACAAATTAATAATAGAATTTGTTGTTGTTTGTACGATTTTACGTGTTTGTAATTTTTGTTTAATTTTATTGGCTCATTATTCGATCCTTATCTTTATTCGATTATTAACTGGACTCCTATTTAAAGTTTGAAGGTAAAGGTATTGTTTTATGCAAAATTTAGTATTTGTCGTATAGGGACTAATTTTTATATGGAATTGTGATAGTTATTAGTTTTATCATAACATTAATTTGAAAACTATAATTATATGGAGAGATAAAATAAATGCTGGCGAAAGTGGAAGATACGATTAAATAAGATGCAGTCTTAAATAGATCTAAATTATCAAAAGGATTTTAAAACTCTATAATTTATTATTGTTTCAGAGAACATATATTTCCTGGTGTTATATTTCATTTCATGACTTAAAAAGACAATAGTTGGTCATTCTTCTTGATTCTTCTTCTTCTTGAGTTAGTGCTATTACGCACTTTTACTCTATAATGGCTGGGGGGCTTATCTCTATCCCACACTAGGTTTTACCTAGGCTCATATTATTGTAAAAAAAAGTTATTGTAAAAAGATTATTTAGATTTTTTTCAGTATAAATAAAAATTAAAGTACTACAGGTTTAAAAAATACTTTAACACTATATCTATCTCTATCTAACACTATTTCTATCATGAAAATTATAAATTATATACGAATATTTTATATATCTGTATAAATGACATACATGCAGATTTATATTGCTCAACCAGTCAGAATAATCAGAGCGATGGAGGGAGAGTGACAGAGAGAAATAGTTATAGAACAAAAGGTCTGAAATAAACTTTTTGTGAAGCAATAAGTTCATGATGAAACAAAACCCTGTCTGTTAAATAAAGGTTAAAAAATGTTTTATTACCTTAGGCAAGTATTCCCATAAGGTATCTTTTTCGGATTGGGTGTACATTAGGACAATTAAACAGAATGTAGTAGGATGTCTTTTCCTCTTCTATATATGGTGATAGAATACCGTCATATTTAATTCGATAAGATGATATCGAAGACCGACGATGTGTCTATGAGAAATTGACCGATATTTTTCGCTTTGTTTTAAAGTAAGGTGCATTTTCAAATACAAAAAGATAAACTGTATACTTAGTTTGACGTATGTCAGAAATGTCGTAACATTAACGACGCATTGTTGTTATCTAACAATTAATTAGAGTTTTAATTGTGGATCAGATATTTTAAAAATAAGTTTTTGGTCCGCAGAGCATCGTGAACCGATTAAAAGTATGGAAAAATAATAAATATCACAGAAAGCTGAGAATATTAAACAGGAAATTTTATTTAACAGATATATTTTCAAGGAAATATTAAAAACTGAGCAGATCGGAACTAAATATAGTCTCTTTATATTAATGCCTAATGGAAAGTTAAAGTTGTGAAATGTAAAAAATTAACCTATGCTGTAGCATTTTAAATATTTTTATCATTTTTTTAAAATAGCAAATAGAGTAAGAAATGTAGTTAAAATAAATATGCAATGCTTGTTGCAAACATTTTCTTGACAATCGTGTGGATTGTGGATAAGAAGTGTCTTAGTGTGCACAAATATGTTTAAACTTAAGCATTTAACATACATTTTAATACGAAAAAAATGCATTAATGTTAAACATTTAAAAATCACTATTGTGTTAATAAATTGCTTTTAAAATGCAATGCATTGTCTTGCCTTAGATCTGCATTACATCCTGCATGCATTTTTACAGCATTAATTGCATTCAATGCAAAAATGCAAGTCAACAAAGAAACACTACAAAAAAGGCAAAAATAAAACCATGAACTGTTGTCGACTTACCAGAGAATGAAATGATCGTGTTTACATTTACGGGCTGCACTGGTTCACCATCTGTAGCAATAACAGTCATTGTGTGACCCTCAATTGTTACTTGAGCCGGACACACTGAAGCGAAGGCGTTGATCATACGGAAACGATAACGACGGCCAGGTGTAATTGTGAAAATTTCCAGTGGTGTATTCGTCATGAAACCAGTATTTGGATCACGGAACTGACCCTTACCGTTGATAAGACAAGATTCAGGATCCTGTCCGGTATTAACAGCCAAACGACCTGGATAACGTTCTGCTGCATCTTCATGCAACCAATCACTGATCAACATTATATGCGTGGTTAAATCAAAGTCGTACAAATGAGAATTTGGATCACGTGAAGGTGGCTGCCGCACTACAATGCTACCATAAATACCATCCAGTTTCTGCAGACCAGTGTGGGAATGATAGAAATGTGTACCGGCATTTCCAGTCCATTGATATCTAGAAATTACAATGAGTACTTAAGCACTTATGTTAAGGTAAAAGTTTAAATTAATTCACCTGAAAGTGTTGCCTTGTTGTATGGGGCATTGTGTTACGAATGGCACGCCGTCATAATACTGTGAACCACGTTGCCAAATTCCATGCCAATGTATAGTGACTTCCATGCCCTCCATATGGTTTTCAACATCGATGACAACCTTGTCATTTTCGCACACTTGTATGCTGGGGCCCGGTATCATGCGATTGATTGTTAATATGCCACGTTCGACACCATCCGCCAACACGCATTGGCAATGACTCCAGACGGTATTCGTGGCATTCGGTGTGCATACCTGACAAGCTCTAAAAGTACAAAAATACAAAAATAAAAATTAAAAATCTAAGCTTATTAAAAACAAAGAAAAAGTTGTTCAGTGTATGACGAGAAAGCAGTATGAGCCACTATATATCATAAAACTATGGAGCCAGTTAATTTTTCTTTATTATGAGTGCTTAACGAAATTGTAAATTAAATTTAAATTAATATTCACTTAGTGTTATTTATATTTGTGTGAACATTGTTTGCACTGCAAATTTCTGCATTCGCTTGAGACTGCAATTCAAAAAGTGCAATTTGCATTTATTGACCATTATTCACGCATTTTATACTCGTGAACAGTTGCAGTTGAAGTTAATAAATTTTCTTAAATAATTACCAAGCACGGCCTACTCCATTTTTACCTTTCAAAGACTGTGGCAAAAACTTGTATTAGAAATATATTTTTAAATCATTCGTGCAAAACGATCCAAACATTATAAAATTTATAAAGGAAATGTAAAGGAAGTAAAGAGCTAACTATGTGCAGCAAGGTGTAGAGCAAATGCCCATAGGATAGGTCAATACATCATTTTTATTTTTTTAAGTCCATAATTTTATTTACGAGTACCACCGTAGGATATAATATGTTCTGTTAAAGCTAATAAATCTGCATTCACTTTCATTTATGGTAGTTCTGTAAGTGTCTTAAATTAATCTAAGGTTAAACTATGGTGGGTATTAACTAAAGCGATCAAAAACTGTTTCTTTTAGTTTAATTACTCGTAATTTACTTAGATATTTGAATTAACATAAATGCAAATATTTTGAAAAGTGATATTTGCATATCACATGCATATTCATATGCCAGTCCAATACCACACATAGGTATCTCTGAAATCTATTATTACCCACTATTCTTGAAATACCAGATTATGAAAAATAAAATGTGGACCTTTCACTGGTCGAAAAACATGCTTCTGACATATTCACATGCAAATGTGCATAAATCTCGGAATTGTTGTTGACAATCCATTGCCTTTGTGTTTGGTTTTAATTAAAAAATAAATTGAATGTGTTTATTATATTTCGAAATAAGTAGTTTATGGTTGTTACTAATATATTAACTAAGAAATTAACACCAATAGTAACTTGGCTTAGCAGCTCCCGTCAAGAACTTGTTATTTAGTATTCAATTATGTGTCACAAATGGCAGTTCACTAAGATAGTTTACTTTAGTTAGTTACGTGCATAACGCAAAAAGTGGCTTATAAATATTAGTTTAACTGTTACAAGTTATTATGTGCTAATTTAAGTTAAGAATATTATTTATAATTAATTGTTATCATATTTCCATATTTGCGATCAAATAAGAAATTTATGTATTCCGAAATGCGTCAATAAATTTCACTAAGTGGATTGAAACATTAAAGATTATTACATAATTTATTAAGAAACCAAATGCATGACATTAGAAAACCAAATCACATAGCGAAGCAATTAGGTAGTTAAAATTAGATAGCTAGGCAGACATGGTTCATACTTAAAGATTCAGAGGAGTCTTTAGAAATATTTTCGAACAAATGACTTTAATGACTTCAATCACGTCATAGTGTCATATCTTGAAGATTAGATGCGTACATGTCATGCATAGCGTCCGCAATTAAATTAAAATGTTTGCTCGTAGCTTATTTATTTTCTTACAATATTAGAAATTCTTCTTCATTGTGTATTTGTTCTATTATTTGTGTAATCATCTAGTAATGCAGAAATTCTTTTCAGACAGTGTTGAAGAAAATGTCACCAAAAACAATTTCAACAACTTGGAGAATATATCTTTCCTTGCAGTCGAACTTAATACGATTTTTAAAAGAAATATGTAATTAATAACTCTATTGAAGCATTAAATAATATACTAGTTATAAAAGTTTAGTGCTGCGTTGGCAGATGAAAGAAAAATCACTTTCCATATATGTCGGAAGTCAGAAATATTCTCTTTTATATTTATTGTATTTGTTTCTCTTGTTGTTATTTTTAAATTATATTAAAAATAAAAGATTTTAGTGTTCTATTTCTTGTCTACTTCTTGGACTATCTTCAGAGTTAATGAAGAACAAAAGCCAACAAAAATATCCAAAGCTTAAACAAAATATGAGAGTATATATACAAAATATTAATTGAAAACCAGTGTTAACATCTTTGGTTTAATTGTAAACAACTGCACTCACAGATTATTTGGACTTTGTTTAGGATCTGTTTTCGACTTTTGAAACACATTGATGATATAGAGCAACAGGAAACAGCAGAACACGTTGTATGTATCAGCCCAGCCATGGCAAGATGCAGATTTAACTATCTATCAGTGGAGTTTGGAGCCCTAAACATATAACTAAAATATGATTTGCAATTGTCATTAAATTTTACAAAAGTTTGGAATTGGAATAGATGGGTGAAAGACTGCATAAAAGTTCTTTCAGGTCGCAGTGCATACATAGCCTATACTTAACAATAACATGATGATATTGAAGACATTGAAAACTAAGTTCACAACTAAGAAAATCAGCAATAGCTCTACTGATGCATATGTACTAAATAGACTAATATAAATAAGCAAGGCTACTGCAACAAATTTAGAATCAACTAAAAATTATGAATTCAATCAAAGTTGTGATTAGTAATGTACTAGATGATAATATCTACAATGCAACTAGCTACTACCCATTTTTGTCAAGGAAATTGTTTACCTCAAACTAATATTAAATTTATACTAATATCTGTATACTAATATGGTATCTAATATACTAATATCTGCTGTCAACCTTATCAGATCGTTACTATTAAATTGAACTATAGCTAACTTATCTATATGTGTATGTAACGTATAAAGTGTATTTAAAGATTTCTTTTAAAAAGACTCGAACGCTTTCTATCCTCCGTTGCCTTGGAGTTTTATTAACCATCCCACTCATATTAGAATTATTCTTTCGTAGCTTTTTGAAGCATATACTTCAGTGATTAAAATAGTATCAGAGTATGATATACAATATAGAGACATTGAAGTTTTTAAGCATATATACATAGGTCAATAATTGCTTAGTCTGATGTAGTGATAAACAATAAACTAGTTAAGGCACAAAGAGGGGTTTTGAAGAAACCTCGCAGTTAATAGAGAGTAAAAGTGCTCAGGTGCACTGACTCAACTAGCCTCAATATAATAGTATACATAGGAAAAAAATCTTTAACATAATTGATCAATTTAAATTAGTTTGTAATAGAACACCCTTTTATATATCTCCTACACTAATTTCGTTAAAGATCTACTTTCAATAATTAGTTTTATATATAATTTTAGTTATATATTCACAAAGTTTTTAATAATGAAGTCATACCTATTGTTTTTTTAATGAATAGACTGATATTTCAGTGGGAATATTTTAAGTGATTTATAATTAATAGAGCAAAAATTCCTTAAATTAATATTATTAACTCTGAGCATAGAAGAAATCAATACCACGTTGAAGAATTAATTACAGCAATAATACGTAATTTTATTACAAATTGTTATTATTATTTAATTAAAATTAATAAGTACATTTAATGAAAAAGATATATAAATTATACCTATGTAACTATATTAAAAATATACAGGTTAAGTGCAAATTTACAAATATATGTAAAATTAAATATTGAAAAATAACTCATGCAACAATGACCAAACCCCATCAGTCGGTGAACAAAGCAGTCCACAATGTTTCTGAGAGCTAATTTAGAACAAATGGAACAGCTTTGAAACGCTGAATTTCAATGAGCGTAGCATTTTTATTGAGTTTCGAAGTTTAGTCAACTGTAAAGATTGACGAAGTACCAATTAATAAATCTGCTAAAGCTACTAGCAAACTTAATGTTTTGCTCTGTGCACGAGGGAGCTACCGGGCACGGGGCAATATTTGCCAAAGCAAAACGAAGCGTGAGAATTTGTCTACTGACTTTTAGCACCTCAGGGTAGACTTGAAAGCGGCGGAGTTGCTTTTGTTGTGGCGCCGCGCTTTCAACGCGCTCGATTGTTTTGCAGCCATAAAGTTTTGAGTCAATGACTTGCATGAGACGGAGTGATTCAAGCAGTTTCAAGTCGTCTTTGTGTAGTACAAGAGATACAAAAGCTGCTGTCACAAGCTTATGCTTCTGATATTAGTTTTACGCGTGCTTTTTACATGTTTTTGTATCTTCTTCTGTATCTATTTTTGTATCTTCTTTTGTATCTTTTTGAATCTTTATCGAAATGGATGGCAAAAATAGTTGTTATGTCACTTTTAATATTTATTTGCCAACTGAAAACATCGTCATCTTGCGGTGACATGCCTATCTCTATGATACCGACATCATCTTCATTGATTACAAACATTTTTTCGGCACTCATACGTTTTGAATGTACTTCCGTCATGAGTAGAGTGAAATAATTCAAATCTTAATAAAAAAATTCATGCTTTTTCTTTTTATAAGATAATTTCCACACAACAAATCATTTTTTAATAAGACAACAGAAAACTTGAGAAACAAATTTCACTACAATCAGTGTTTGATATTGCCAATGAATAAAATTATAATTTTTAAATCCAATTTTAAATTAAAATTGACGACTCATACTGAAATCAACCAATTTTATAGTTATAAAAGTCAAGATTTATAAATATAGCAATCGTTTTACTTACGCTCCCAAAACAGTGTAGTATTCCAATGTGAAGTGATAATAACAAATTCTGGGTGGTTCACCCTCCCTGCAGGCACGTGCGCACTCGTCGGGTGCAGAAAGTTTTGGGTTGCGCCTGAGCTCTGCTGTAGCACTAGTTGAAAAATCTAAATGGCGAAATGGTGACTTTGGATTAGCATTGACGACTGTGGTGGGATAGCGCGCTGAGCTAGGAAAACTGCCACGTGAATTTAAGTATCCGCTGCCAGCTGTCAGAGCAGCATTACTTGCACCACTACCAAGACTATTACTGTTTAGTGGCACAGGTCTTGGCTTGCTAGCACTGGCACTTAGTGATGGATGAGTCTGCACTAAGCCATGGGTGGCACCAAAGAACGGCGAATCAAATGGTGTTGAGCTAGAAGGTGTCACAACGCGAGAATTCCAAAATGAACCTGCCGGTGACTGATCAGTTGTTCTATCTGAAATACCATAGAATAGAATAGAAAATATAAATTTTATTAGAAGTTTATGATGAATTTGTGTGCATACTTGCACATAAAAAGTAACAAAACAATAATGGCGCATAAATCAATCAAAACCTTTGGTATGTGTTGAATAAAAACATCGCCTTAGAGCACGATGTTTGCATTCTATTGAAAACTTGAAAAACGAATATTGCAACATTTGGATTATTTGGAGCATAAAAATAAAAAATGCAATAAAAATATTCTTTTGCCTTGAATTACTGATGAATTAGCATTTGAAATGGGAAGGGTTCTTTTATACTTTTGAGATAAAAATATTTTCAATGAAAACAATAAGAACGCAGCAACTTGCCAAGGAAATTCCAAAAATTTGGTCTGAATTTTATATGATATTTTTATTGTGAGTTTATATACTGTTATTTAAAACAAAATAATAAGTAATTTATTAAAAATGATTTGCATAATAATAAAAGCATGTTTAATAATTTATACTGTATTAATATTTATTTAAAGTTTGTTTGTTTTATTGGCAGATCACTTTATCGTTGAGTGCCGCCAGTGCTGAAATATATTTAATTCTTTTTATTGGCACGAATATATTTTATAAATTTATTGGTATTAAAAATTTTAATAACTTTTTAATTATTAATAAAAATTTACAGTAATTTTTATTATTTTCTGAGTATCGTTCAGTTCAGTTGTTCTCATATGAATTTTTATTATTTGCTGGGTATTGGTTAGGCGTTCTCATATGAATGCACAATAAAGCAAAAGACTTAAGGCACAAACTTGCATTCAATTTAACTGCTAATAAAAGAAAGCAAGGAATCAAATCAATTTTGAAGAGATGAAAGTAAAATCCTATAATTTCTTATTTATGTTTTAATTAGTATAATTGTATTTGTATGGAATCAGTAATATTAGCAATTATGATTAAATAAATAATAAGAAGTGTTTTGTATAAAAGAGTTGATCAAGAAATGATTTATTTTGATGTGTTTAGTTTTTATCTTTAATAAAATACTAAGTATCTTTTCTTTTCTGAGCAAATAACAAAATTGTTGACCTATCAAACACAATTAAAAAGATTTACATAGTAAAAATAGACAAATAAAATAAAAATTGTGTTATTAAGTTATTTGAAAATTTAAAGCAATAAGTGGTCAATCCACCTATTTTTGTGTTTTAGGCCTATGAAGCGTTTGGTATACTACATAGGAATTTACGAAGACATCAATGGTATATAGAGCTGTCGGGACAGACATACATATTACAGTACTATGGTAAGGTTTTGATATTTGGTTGTTAATAGATACTGTGTTACTTAAACTATACACTTGCTTAACAGTTTTCTTTGACTAGTTCTAAAAATCTGTCGACCAAGAATCATTACGTTATCAACGTACAGTTATATAGCATAGTATGTGTGGTTAGGACACAGACTACGCAAAACGATTAGCGGCATAATATATCCATCTGTATGAATGGAAACTTTGAAATGTGACATAAAAAATATCAATCACTATACAACCAAAAAAAGAAAATGGATGAATTGAGAGCAGCAGCTCGAAATAGAAGCAAATGGTATCTGTTTGAGATAGCGTTAGTTCTTTAACTATATTTTAGATACGCATATTGGATGATTGGTTTACATGTCGGCAGAGTCTTCTCTTTAGTTCAAGTAGTTCGTAGATGTCATTTTGTTACCAAAAACATGATCACAAAATTTCAGTTCCAATATTACCCTGTGCGCATGAGAAAGTAGAGTATTTTTTAAAGATATATGTTAAGTATGTTTGTCAGGCTCCTTATGTCTATATTTCTTTATTTTAATAAGTACGTCGTAATAAATGAGGTCTCAATGCACAAACTACAAGCTATGTATCCATGTATCCATTTGATTCACGGACCATTTGTAACCATTTCGCGGTCCACTGGTTGGGAACCATTGCTGTAGAAATATGATGATTACTTCTTATACAATGTTAGGTAAAGCCATACAATTGTTTATATTATTTTATATTATTAAAGTATTCATTATTAAAGTATTTTTATAATTAATTAAAATGATGGCGAGTACTTAGTTTGTAACCATTTCATTCTTCTAACTATTAAGTTACTGCCTCAAAGGGTTTAGACTTTTTCTAATTTTTAATTGTCATGATGCAAACTAAGAAATTTAGGAGTTTGCTCAATTGCCAAAGCAGATTAGACTTGACTTCTTTCATCACAATATAACCTCATAATTATATATTACTTTATAGTAGTTAAATATAATATAAAACATGTTCAAAATACAATTGATTTACTAATTCGATCCATAGTAATTAAGTATTGTTCAACACTTAATGGGTTGAAGGTTTTAGTACTTTTAGTAGCACAGTTAGTACTACTAGACAAACCAAAAATCTGAGCAATAACAGAATTCATCACAGATTAAAGCGTGAGATACCCATAACAAACGACTGAAATCGAAAGTGTGAAGTGCATCGAACAAATTGCATTTATAGTTTTGTATGCAAAATGGAAATTGAGTTTTCATTCTACGTTTAAGCAAACTGTAGTTTTTTATTAACCTGTTCAGTGAAATCAGATGACGTAGTTGCAGTAACGGAATGTTATATTTAAATGAGATATTTATTATCTTTGTTTTGCGACATTTATGTGTACACAACAGATACTTGTCGCTTTCGGTTTCGGTTTCGATTTCATTTGCATTTCGTGTTTTAAAGTAGAGTCGTTTTTAATTACTTGCTTGGCAGTTAATTAATTTGTATTGCATATTGTTGCTAGCGATTTATCTTAATTAAATTAAAATGCACTTAGACTCACTCTCTGTTGGTAATAATTCGATTCATTAAATATGTATTGTTCGGTTAACATTAATCATTTTGAAAATTTTTTTTTTCTTTACATACTGACTTGAATTTTAATTTTTTTATTTTTTATCTCATTGTATATTAGTAAGTTATGGATATATTTATATTAACATGACAAACTGACATAAATATTAAATAACTGAATATATATGTCTGATATCAGTGACTCAGCGAAAATCAAAAGAAATCTCAATTACTGTTTAGTGACTTATATTGATAAATTGTGTTAAATTACAATATTTAGGGTAAAAGTCTATAATAATAAAATCAGATATTATTTACATTGGCATTTGTGTAATATCTAATTTTATGATTATAGGTTAAAAACGCTACAAAGGATATTGTTTTTTAATTTTTTTATCTTATATGCAAAATATGTATCTTAATCATTCTCTATCACGTTGTAGTTATGTATATTACATTTTTTTCACTCTTTATTAAAGAAATATTGAATTTATATAAAAGTAAAGTAGACATGTCTTAAGATAATTTAAAATTGTCTGTTAATTATAATTAAGTTTAACGTTAATAATACCTATTAAGTACTTGACTTTCGACATCTCAGGCTTTAACTAACAAATTGATTAAATAGTTATGCAAAATATATGCATTATAGTCTGATCTGATCAACAATGTTGAATAGTTATGCAAAATATATGCATTATAATATGATCTGATTAAGAATGTTAAGTTCTTCCAATTTATTACATAAGCTATTTGCAGTTCAAATTAACTATAAGTAGTAGTATTTCTTCCTACTTATGCATTCTTTACGATAATGGAAAGTACTTAATAAAAGTGTTGAAAGTTATATATTGAAGATTTCTGAGCACTTAGTGATGAATATAGTTTTTATTTGGGTTTCCAATGTTTCGTAAGCTGAAGAAATTTTTGGATTTTTTGGCAAAGTAATTAAAATCAATCAATGTTAAGTATGGAACATATTGTAATTCATGCATCACAATATACTGAGATATTATGTGAAAGAAAGTGAATATTAAAAGATATAATGGTATATATGGTAAAGATATAATAGTACTCTTTTACTGATTTTAAGTCATGTATTGACGTAACGCTTTATCCCTTGTACTTATTATTTAACCTTCACTTATTCCCAATATATTTTGAAGTTAACAAAAAGAGAGAATAATTAATTAGTTGATTATCATCCTATTTAAGGATGATTGATCGATATTTTTTTAGCAAGACACTATTTCAATTTTAGCTGTTTATAATATACCTTCTGCTCAAAAAGTATTCGGATTTTGTAAATAAAACACACAAATTTAAATTTTATTCCAAATTCATTATATCTCCTTCAAAATATGCTCCTTCTGAAGCGATACACATATGCCAACGATTAACCCAATCTTCCATACACTTTTCGTAGGCCCGGGAAGGTATGGCTTTAAGTTCCTTCAGCGAATTCTCATTTACCGATTCAATGGACTTACCATGAAGGGGCAAACTGAGTTTCGGGAACAGGAAAAAGTCGCACGGCGCCAGAACTGGCGAATATGGTGCCTGAGCAATGACAGTGGCGACGTGTTTGGTCAAAAAATCGTGTACAAGAAGAATTTTCCATAGTAAAAATCGCTAAATGCAGTTGAGGTAGTCTTGCATTAACAGCTGCTGTAAACAAACTAATTGACAGATGGCGTTCAAATTTGTACCATATGTCAAAAAAGGGTGTACCTAACAACCTAACAACAAAAAAATTTTGAAAAAGGTCTATTACTTAAGAAGCAATTAACAAACAACAAAATCCGGATACTTTTTGAGCAGAAGGTACATTCTACCATATCGAAAGCAGATCTTGTGTCAGTCACGATGTCAATAAAATAATTTTTTTAACTTTGCATTATTGTTTAATTTAAAAATTTTAAATAAAAACAATGTTAAGTATTATTTTTGATTTCTTATTGACTGTTACTCCTCTTCGCATAAAAAAAATTTTTTTGTTATTTGAGGTTAGGTTATGTTAGGTTAGGTTGTTTCGAACTATTAGCCATCGAAACGTTCTGAGATGTGTTACTATAGTTAAGTATACAAGGATAATATAAATGTTTTTTGAATTACCATTGATATAAAAACTATGTCTTGACCATATCTTTT